TGATCTATATGTATGACTGAAAATCCAGTTAATAAAAAAACAGAAACTCAATTTAATCTTATATTGAAAGTTTTATAAACTTTCAATATAAGATTTTTTAATGTTGAAGATTACATTTCACAATTATTCTTTATTATAAACATCACTCACTCAATAGGCTGTATTACTATTTATCTTCCATTGAATCTTTATACGTTTTTATTTAGTTTCCCATGTTCATCTCGTGCCGTATGAATGTAGACGAATATGTCTGTGCATAATTTACCATCTAGCTGCTGCTTTTAACACTGTCGAAATATCGGTAAATTAATAAAAACGAATAAAAAGCAAAGATTGAAGGATTTCTTTAATATTACGTGTAAAAAATAACATCGTTAAGTTAAAAAAAGTAAGGTCTTTACTAAAATAAACTTCTATTAAAACTTCGTTATCCACATAAAATCACACGCATTTCTCCGCCCTTTTATCTCAAAAGAAAAGTAAATCTTAAAGACTTATTTACGACTCTGTTGACACTCTGTGACGTTGAACGTTTTGATTGATAAAATTGAGAGAAAGATAAATTGGAAAGTATTTGAAAGTTATGCTGCAGTAATAATCTATAGCCATCAATAATGAAAATGTAGCATTCAATATACTTCATCTTGAATGAATAAAATTGTTAAAAAAGTGCCATTTTGCATAAACATTTTGAATTATATAAATCGGCAATGTTTAATCTTTTAAGAAATGTATCTTATGTGAAATACTTATTTGCAACAAAATTGAGTAATAGCACCTAGGACATTTACCGCCAGCTTTCTGAATGTAGATATCTAATTAATTTTAGATATAAATTATTATAATGCAGACAAATCTATACTCCATCTTCCCATCATGGAAATGCCGGAAAACGAAATTTTATAAAAAGTAAACTATGTGATTTTCTCACGCAATGAAATTACAGGCATAACGTTTTAACCTGTGGCGACTGGTCTGTATTATTCTTCTCAGCTCAAAAGCACTTCAAACTGACGGTAGAGTTGACATAACATAAGAGTCTATCATAGTAATAATATTTTGATTTGATTTGAATCCTTCAGAATGGCAATGCATGAGCGATATCACGAAGATCATAGGATAAAGCGTTGTATGTGATCCCGTACTTGTATGTACAACGGTAACCACTTACCATAACGTGGTGCTATCGCAGAATACGAGAATCGAAATTACAACCGCCTGAGCCAAGGTTCGAACTCCTACGGTCTTATTACAAAAAATCTGTTAAAACTCGGACGAAACGTGGGCTAAATGGTCGTGGTTTAAACCATTCCTAAGGTTAATACTTGGAATAAGCCTAACATTATTACGAATACAGATCTAACAGAGGACTACTTAGTACTACTTAGTACTAGTATATTACATACAGAAATCAGTCACTCATGTCTGTTAGCGTACAATTACGTTCCGTTTTACCAGAAAACTGAAAAGATCGAAAATAATATTACTTCAAATAAAAATGTATAAATTAAAAATAAATTTATTTCTATTTATCTATGTCTTCGTTATAACTATTTCATTAATATATAATATTTGTTAATGTACTATTAGGCTGAAAATCAGTTTTAAATTACAAGTAGGAGTCCTATACGGAGAAAAGGAATGACGGGATATTTTTATTGGATCGATTCGAATGGTGTCTATTTCAAAGTCAAATGAGTGAAAAAATAACAATAAACGTCTTTTATGTATTTTTATTATCGTAAAATTAGCTTTAAATATATTTAGTTAATATATTTTTAATTTAGTTAAAATATTTTTCGAAAAACAACAACTTTCAATACAATTTTTAAAATGGAGTTTCACTTTTTGCATTTAGACCACTGTTAAACTAGGGCCATCGCAGGTCTAACTTTAGACCATAGACGAATCACAGTTTAGAGATAAACTTCGTTTTGTAATAGGGAATACTTTGGTCAACGGTTTATTACTAGTGCTAAACCAGGTTTATCTTTTTGTAATAAGGCCGCTAGTGTTGCTCTCAGACTAAAGTCCTGTGAAGAAGTGAAGTAAAGTCGGATAGACCAAAAAAAGAATACTGTCCCTAAGTTATCTGACGAATCCGTCATATGACCTTCAGCCGCTCCATAAGTCTCTCCACGGGTTTGGAGTGCCATCTACACTCGTCCGGTGAACCTGTAAACGCCACTTGCAGCCAACAGCATAGTAGACCAAAAAAAGAATACTGCCCTAGTCCCAGTTAACTGTAGATATCTGACTGAATTATGACTATTTTGTTAACCTAAAAAATATCCTCATATCAATATTAACCATAAAAGATAACCATTGCAGTGTAAGAGCGTTCAGAATATATTGTATATGATGTAGGGATCTTTGAGCATCACCCGTTGCAGACAAATATACACATTGCACGATAATGGGAGGATAATGGATATTTTCCATTAAACTATACTCGTACTAAGTACAGTCCACTATTTATAGACTAGTTTACTTGGAATAAATACTCTTATCAAGTATACAACACTAACCAAGGTAACTTTACAAATTTCGAACAGCCGATTCAAAAGTATAATAAACCCTTTAGTAACTACAATAACCTACAATAAAACTGATTATAAAATATCGCCAATAACATTACAACTGATTTACCAGTATCTTTGTAATTATATTATCCATACTAACGCGAAAGTATTTTTTTCAGTTAACTTTTCATGATTTTAATGAAATTACATTGTAACACTAGAACAGTTAGGTAAAATTAAAGTGTATCTACAGGCTATGCAATGGAACTCTTACACTGAAACTGTAGCAAATGTAAACATGGTTTTGAAATGTTCCATAAATAGGTAGACAGCATTTCATATTACGAAAGCAAATATCGCCAGAAGCACTAAACACATTGTATCAAATTATCAAAGGTATGAAATGATATTTACATGTTCACGATTATATGAGAACGCGGTTTAGTTAGTACACAAACAATTATATTACACTATAATGCTTTATTTAAAATTATTGAAACATAAGTTTTAATATAAGTGAAATAAGTAGAAAATGTTATATGTATTTAGTAACAAACACTAACACGCAGTAACCTAAATAAATCTTCCCTAGATTGGTTTTTTAATGGACGGTAATTAAATAATGTACTCGCTTGCGTTAAGGATTTACACTGCTGGGCCACAACTGGACGACGATAAGATGTCGGTTAGGTCAGAAGAGACTTAACCACAACGATTTTCAGGATTAAGAATCGATCTAGCCGTTACAGAGATTAGCAAGAACAAACAGACAGACAGACAAAAAAATAAATATTCATTTGATGTAGATACCGTATATACTTTATATGCATTTCGTTAATTTGATATTATAAACAGACACTTCAATATTTTATTTGTGTAGTATATACATCACCACTTTATAGGGTTCATCCCTAAGAATAGATTCGCCTACATAAAGATGGGACTACAAAAATCCAATTTCAATAAAAAACCAATAAAATCAACTTGACCTTAATTGCCACTGGTAGACAGCGAAGAGCGTTTGATTGAGATTTCATCTACGACTGTGATTAAAATTCTATGATTACACTGTCTTTATATATTTATGTGGTATACTCATATAATGTACTACACCGTATTTATTCTCTTATTTTATCAAATCACAAAATATTTTTTTAGCGTGTTTTGTATCTTTCATCATGTATTTTCATACTTTCTATAGAAATAAAATGAGTACCGTGCGGATTTACGCTCTTTAAAATAAACGTTTTATACATACTTATTCATTGAACATGCAAACCGGCTCTGTACTTAATGCTCCAAATTTAATAAAGAGACAAACTTATTTTATTATTTACTACGTATTACATACGTTTCGAGCGGGTATATAATAAATTTACACAAAATGTGTATTATACATCTAATCCTTACTCAGAAATTATTCTGCAAATGTATGAATATGCTTTAAAATCCGTTTACTTTTTGAGACTATCACGAACAGACAGACGAACAGGGGGTCTTTTTGTTTTTTAATATCTATCTGTATAATATACGAAAACATGTAAATAAAACACCTTGTAAGTCAGAAGAATTTTTATTAAAAGTACGATTTCTTATTTAAATGAGATATAAAATTTTAGATCATTATTTTCAACGTCAAACTTCAAATATTATTGCAGGAGCTTTTGTCTTCATGATACTTAAGTGTGCTCTCTACTAGCTTAGAAGCGAAATGAAAAATATATTTCGTTTATTTTTTAGAAATTCAGACATTGATGTATTATACGTATGATGAATAGATAACATGTAGTCATATTATATTACAACTAACTCTTTCTTGCAGCGATGCTCACGTTGAATATATATATCCTATAGTAATCGCTGATAATGTAAGTATCACTATGTGATTTTTTTAATTAGATCCATAAATTTTCGAGCTTATCTATAATAAAGTAATAAAAATAAAAAGTTATTTACTTTTTAAAATATTAGTATACTTAGCAAATAATTGGAGATTATGTTTTTTTTAATTTCATAAACCGATAGTAAATGTATGTTAATATACACTTTTTGTTCTGGACTAAAGAACAGAAACAGGAATGTACTAGAAAATGCTACAAAAACCGTGTCTATCTGGAACGCTAAATACATGACTGGGATTTGATTGATATAAATTATTTTTAAGGCTAAAATGAGAGACTACTTTGCGTTTTTTTTTTATTTGTTTGTAATGGATGAACTCGATAATATGTCACTAGTTTAAAAAAAAACTTTCATCTATAGAAAGTCCCATTATTAGAGAGTAACAAAAGCTTAGATATACGCTATAACGTCGAGCGATACAAGTAGTTCTACGATAAAACGGTTCAGTTTACACCAATCAAATTAATAAATTAACAAAATCACATCTTGTATTCAGTTCGTTGCCTGAGAATTGGACAAAGCCAGAACACGAGCGGCAAACAAGATGATCCGTTTAACATTTATTTGTGTACTTACGTGCACAATCAGCCCCTGGTACGTGGGTTCCCGATCCTGTGAACAAACAAAAGAAAATATGTAGTTTCTCTGTATTTAACACACACCTGGCATGGCACCAGTGGAGGTTGATAGGAAGAGCATGAAGCCTATTGAACGCTAAACAATTATTAGTATTAATTAACTTTAAAACTGTAATAATATAGTCTGCGTATATTAGGGACATTGATTGTTGTACATTTATAATTAGTATTTAGTGTTTTAACAAATTTAATATTGAATTTGATTTTTTACTACTATTGTTTACTCTTCTGTGTATTGTTTTATATATTGTATATTATTTCAAGGTATAGAGTGTATTAAATGTAATGGATTGAGGGACCATGTTAGGCACATTGATAATGAAATACAAGGTATAATCCATCACATTTAAAATTAATATTCTTGTTGCTAGCAACTGTCATGTCATACGTGCAACTGTAATGAAATCAAGACTAAATTATATTTACTGCAGTATATTCCTAGTATATGAATATCCCCAACAGCTTAATAGCATAGATTAATTAAATGAAGCATAAATTACTTAAATGCTTGTTGTTTTTATTTTACTTATAACTTTAACTGATATAGTAGATATAAAAGATTATGCGTCTTTTGCTATCGAGTGAGACTACTATACAAGCATGAAGAGCAACTATTAACACAAACATTACAAGCCGTAATAAGTTTCAAGGCGAGTCAAATTATCCGTATAGATCGTTATCTCATTCATGGGCTCAATGAACACTTTAATATACCTTAAACTGTTTTGCGCCGTTGGTTGGATATAAAGCGGTGCCATTTCAACCTATTACAAGAACAAATAAAATTAAATCTCCGCGAACAATTACAGTGAATTCGGTTTAGTGGTACACTTTATAAGTTTCTGTTATAAAGTGTGCTAAACACTAAAGTTTTGAAGTAATTATTTTAAGTGATATCTATAAAATTATTTATTACAAATAAACCAACAGTTATGTGCCGTTAGTCGACATAAAGTGGTAGTACTTCAAACATAAAGCTTTTAAAAGCTCTAAAACTTCAACTTACGCGTATTACAAGAACGAATAAAATTAACCCCAACCGAATATTCAATAAACATCATGTTTTAGGAATATATAAGAAATATTACCACTTAGTGAAATTAATCATTAAATTTTATTACTGTATCTAGAAATACACTATATTGTGAATATGATAATGGCGATGAGAACGGTGATCTATCTACGAGGTAATTCAGTTATTACTTAATAATGAAATTTGTTTAATATCTCCTCCATATTCTACACAACAAACAAACAGTGTATAACAAAAAGTCAAATTAACTTATTTATAATTTAGGTCTCTCATTTGGTAACCTATTTTTTGTTAACCTATTTATGTGAGATTCTAACGAAAAATATTCTATATAAATTATTTCATGAAGTTTATCTACGAGTATTATTAACTGTCTAATTAGAAAATTATATATATTGTATATACACATTATACAGTTTCAAAATATTTTCTACTTTTATATGAGCCCAAAACGAACTGATAAGTTAACTAGACCACAACTGGATGTGCATTAAATAACGGATATTAATACTATGCAAGCTACCCTTGGCACTCCTCATGAGTTTACATTCTTTTTCACTAATTTTCTTCGTTAATCCGAAAGCATACCGCTTAGGAGACCGAACCATACCATGTAGATCAAAATAAACATCTGACCGAAACAGACCAAAACAGAATAAGCACGGATTACTATTTCACGACAGAAATACATAAGACAGTGGTGCTTACCCAGGCGAGTTACGCAAGGGTTAGGGATTTAGAAATTCAACGCAAAATTTGGTAACTACAAACGAAAAGCTATTCACGCAGGGATTCTCGGGGCTCGACTATAGATAGGGCCGGATTTAATAAACGTACCTTTTAGATAACACGACGTATTAATAAAGTGGCGATTAATCAACCTAATGGTACTTTAGTTGAATTCATTAAGCGCTTGCAGATTAGATCTGTGATACAGGAACGAATTGTATCTGAATTGAGAATATCTAACAAATGTTAAGTAGAGTCGCTGCTTAGTGCTACTGGTCGATTGACAATATTTTTAATTGATAATATAGTTTTTGTTTTGAATTCCCAACAATTTTATTTTTCTTTGGCTTAATGCCGAAGAAAATAGTTAGTTAATTTTATTTTGTAAATTCTTGATCTCATTGTGTTTTGTATGATGTATTGTTTGGTATTTTTTCTATTAGTTACTCATACATATTTTTCGTAATTGGGATATCATTCCTGTACCTCTACAGAATCCCACACACTGAATCTGGTCATATCTTAGAAATTATTTCCCTTAACAAATAACTACAATTCTCGATTATTACAAACCATTTTATTTAGTTTTACAAACAAGAGACGATGTTTGACTCATCTATTCATTAATAATAAGAAGAAGCGAAACGACCATTTATTTCATAGATAGCAATACATCTTCTTAATAAATTGTACATATGTGTACGTAGAGATTTCAAAGCAGTAATAATGAGATATTTCTTCCACAAAGACGTTCACCTATTAATCGTAAATAATCTGAAAGAAAAAGGAAAATAATTCCACAAATGATCAATTAAGCCCTGACCAATAGACATAACAATCAGTACAATAAGATATTAATGAAACATATTGAACAAGTAATTTCACAATCATAATTGCGAAATATATTACTGACGCTTTTTGTGTTATAAAACGCGTTTAATTAAATATATTTTATGGTATGACATAAATACTTTTTAACAATAGACAAGGCTTTAACGAAGGCCAAAAAGACACCCAATTAATGTTTACCTCTCCTCGTTTTAATTAAAGCACGCTACTGTGTGTACAGCCGTATTAACTGTATATCTGGTCACGTACACCTTGTATGCAGTGTGGGGACAATTAAGAAAGTTTAATAACTATATGTGAGCTTGAACGAAGTCATGTCAGAGAGGATAAGACGAGGGATCGTGTCGCAAGTTGAAAAAGGGGCGACAGAAAGTAGTACAAAATTTAAAAGTTCCTACAAATATGTTTGTTGACAGAGTGGAAATATCTATTGTAACCATTCGTTTTCAACCTCAAATATCGTAAAAGTAGACTGTGGTAAAGGGACCACATAAGCCAGAAAAGTTATATTCGTAATATAACCTTATACCATACTTCTACTATGTTTCTTCCATAAATTGTTTGAAGATACGTTAAAGCAAAAATTAAACTAAAATAGTTATGCTATAGTTCTGTTTCATGAGAGACACAAGAAAGTGAATATGTGCAGTACTAAGTGTAATTACGAGTATAGTATCAGTATTTTAGTTTAAGGTACCTACGTTGATTATTGCAGTACATAAGACTACCCATTTGCTGCCAAATGGAGTGATTCTGAATAAATAGGGTATCTAGACACTTATTGTAGACTATCACAAGTGCACATATGTATTCTTTATAAAAAGCCATCTTGGTATTTACCTCACATCACATGAGTAGTAAGTCACATATATATGATATCATTTAGCATCAGGTGAGCCGTTAGCTTGTTTGCCATTCCAATTATATGGAAAAAAGTGAGCCACTAAGGTAAAGATAGGTAAAATCATACTAACGAAATATTTATATTCTATACATACATATTTGATCTTACAGTAAAGATTTGTTGATACAACGAGATGGATTTGTCTTTCACGCCTCCAGAGAGTATACGCGTGATGCTATAAAATATTTTCTTTACAAAACTCCGTAACTTTCAGCTGGTTAGTTGCGTTCGATTCCGTCGTTTCGCTCCTGAGGTATCAAGAAAACGTTGGATGCTGGCGTGTAATAATATTCTGATTAAATATGACTTCCAAGATATAGATTTCCCATAGGGATAGTATACTTCATCGCTCATTCATTGTTTGGACACCACTTAAAAATTCTGCAAGATGGCAATCCCTTGATAAAAACAATATCTTATAATTTACTCTCGAAGATAATATGTTATTTCCAGCTGTTTTCACTTCTTTACATGCATGATTTTGTTAGAGCATCGTAGATATGTATTAATATCGGATTGTTATAATATTCATAAGTACGAATATCATGTATGTTTGGGTGATCAAGATATTACAAGCTTCAAGATTATAATAAAAAAATATTAAACTTACATTTTAGACTATTTTATTGCTAAAGATATACCTCGTCCACACCGCAAGTTTAATAACTTCTCTCTACACTGAGGTTGCGTGGTGAGATTGTTATTTAGCGATAAGGCAACCCATTTTCACCCATATGTCCTACTAACTGATGGTAATAATATATTTTTATCTTTTTGTATATATTTTAATAGTTTAAGTAACTATATTTTCAAGGGAAGGAAAAATATATAGTATAATATGTATATAATAAAAATTAAACTAATTGCTGTCATTACAGGGAATATACATATGTACTCGTCGTATATAAAAAATATATGAAAATATTCGGATATATATATTCTAATAGTAGACTCATTGTCTGTGTGTTTTTGCAAGTTTAATTGCAGTAATGGCTGAAATGATTTAGATGCGATTCCCTACTAGTTTATTGTGGTGAGCTTAATTTTAAATTTAGTGTACGTTTATATCTAATCAGTTAGCAAACAAAAAATTTTTACGGTTACAGGCGCAGGTTCAGATTTATTTTTTTAAGATAGCAGGCAGACAGACACTTATTGCCTGCCTGTAACATAACATAATACATTAAATAATTGCTAACAGGAACCTATTACGTTGAAAATAGAACGTAAAGCTTACATTTGAAAACTAAACACAACCTTCGGAAGTACCTTAATATTCATGTAATACCCAGTTTAAGAGGATTAGTGTCAGCGTACTTGTTTAACTTCAATTTACTGAGGCAATTTGAAGCAAAATTGTACAATAGCTTGGTGATATTCACTTGCGTATTAAGTAGGTATCTTTGTTACACATGTACCATAATACTATTGAGTGACAGGGATGGATGAACACTTTCAT